GTTTTCAACCAGTGGTACGGGGACAAACTGTCTCGCTCTCGTAATATCTGTCTGTCTTGCTCTCGTTCTGTCTCTCGTACCACTCTCGGTTCCACTTTTACTTTTGCGCGCTACCTGTCTCACTCTTTTCCGGCCTCCAGCTTTTCCTGCTGGAACCCGCCGCTTAAAGTTGGGGGTCCGCGGACCGGCCATAGAGCCCATAGAGTTAAAGGTGGTGGCCGTTAGCTGTAAAAATCCATAGATTAGCCGCACCGTTATATAAGCCGCAGCGTCGAAAAATGGGAAAAAAGGCGCGGCTTATAGTCCGAAAATTACGGTACACAGATATTCCAGCATTTTTTTTCCAAAATGATTTTATTAAATATTCAATTAAACACCATCTTAAAGTGCAGTTTTCTACTTATGCTATTTTTAACATGATTAAAGAAGTCCATTTCGCATTTTTCCACAATGCGTTTACTAAAATCAAGTTGACGTTTAAAAAAACAATATACTGTGCTACAAAGTGTTCTTTCTCATGTATGTACCCCATGTACACACACTTCTCTCCCCACAGAGCCTTAAATTCAACGGCATGCAGTACATCGACATGTGCAAGAACGGCGACATCGACTTCTGCGAGCTGAACGCACGCTTCGGGATGCGCTTCATCATCGCCGACCCCGTCACCTTCAAGACCAAGGGCAGCTACCTGGGCCTGGCCACTCTGCAGGCATATACCACAATGCACCTCTTCTTTCAGTTCAAAACCACCTCGCCTGACGGATTCCTCATCTTCAACAGCGGAGACGGGAACGACTTTATCGCCGTAGAGCTGGTCAAAGGGTGAGGATGAGAGGATGTGCAAAGGATCTTTATGCCATTGCTCGAGTCAAGAGATGATTATTAAAATAGCCATTATTAATTTACTAAAATCCAAATCTCTGATGCACCTTTTACAAGCTTGTCAAATCAAAAAGATCGCCATACTGCAGGTACAGTTATTTGTCTTCATCAGTTGAAATCCCATTAGTATCAGAGTAGCATGCTACTTATGAAGTGCTACAACAGCAAAGGTACAGTGCACATAAAAGGCAAACGACTTACATATTAAAGAAATAGGCAAGCACACGTACATGGTAGTGAGCATGTGAACATGTATTGAAAACCCCAATAACATTAACAAAATGTTAAACACTTATGAAGTGTATATTACACATCAGTTTGGTATTGCTCAGATTTAACAGTCTGTATTGTTTGGCGGTCTACTGGCATCATTAGACGGAGATGATGGAGATATGTGAAATGGAACACTCCGATAAGCTTTCCATAGATTTACAATAGAGGCCGAGACACTTAACATTAATTATATACAGTTTATATTAATAGCACATCTTAAATTGGAGAGAGATTAAGTAGTATACGGAAACATTACAAGCAGAAAAATACCCAACATAAGGGTTAGAAATCTAAATGGACCCAGAAATCTAAATGAACCTAACCCATAATTTTAATGGTCCCAAAACATTTTATTTTACACATTGGTTTACAATAGGTAAGATATAATAATCACATATGCTTAACAGAGAAAGCCAATGGTATAAAATAAGTGCATTTCAGATTAGAGTCAACTTGTTTAGAAGTCCGAGACTATTTCGTGTATTTAGGACTGGACATATTTGACAGTTTTTCCAGAAGATAAAAAGCACACATACAGCAAACACACGCACATATCTTCACTAACAAAGTTCCTCTCCTGCAGGTTTATCCACTACGTGTTCGACCTGGGGAACGGGCCCAGTCTGCTGAAGGGGAACAGCGAAAACCAGCTGAGCGACAACCAGTGGCACAACGTGGTCATCACCAGAGACGCCGCCAACACACACACGCTCAAGGTGGACTCAAAGTCCGTCACGCAGAATGTCAACGGAGCCAAGAACCTCGACCTCAAAGGTACCACAGCCTCGCTTTTTCAGAGGTTTGAATAAACCACTTCATGAATGTCAGAGATTAGAATACAACCCTACAAGACTTGATTCGATAAAGTCTTTTTTGAAAAAGTCAAGACTCTACTCCATCCCTTGGTCTTTCATATTATTGACACATTACCTGTTTAAGATTATAACTTTTTTCTCATACTCAATTTGTACAATTAATAGGATCATCCAACTTTTTAGATTTTTGAAAACATTTCACTTGGTTTCTAACATAAAAAGATGGTGATTGCAATGTTGCAAAAATGCATGATAATTTCCCCCAAATACATACCCATCCAATAAAAATAATTCAATATCTGTCTAAGTATACTTACTGTTACTTAAGGTTTTGAATGGGATTGAAATTATTGAAGGAAAGGCAACTTTTTTACGAAATAATGACCTTGTCACACCCATAAAAATGTGTGAAATCGTAAAACACACCGATTTGGTCCAATGGATTGTGTGGAAAGAATTAAGATCAATTGTACCAATCAAGTAATCTAGCCTGAAAACATAATCAGCATATCTGTCAATAATATTAAACACTCAACTGGACCTGATGGTTAAGTTATAATATTCATCACAAAAACAGAGGTTAACTTCAAACTGGAGAATATGTGACCCTAGTATTTATTCAAATCACTTATTACTCTCTTCTCGTCCCTCTACAGGTGACCTGTTTATCGGGGGTCTAGGGCCCAACATGTACCAGAACCTCCCGAAGCTGGTGGTCTCTCGGGAGGGCTTCCAGGGCTGCTTGGCCTCAGTGGATCTCAACGGCCGCCTGCCAGATCTCATCAACGACGCCCTGTTCCGCAGCGGGCAGATTGAGCGCGGCTGTGAAGGTACAGACGGCCCTTAGCGAATAAGAGTCATGAAGGCGTCTGAGATGTATTAGTCTAATTAGAAGGCTCCTCTGAAGCCCCTTAAAGCCACTCGCTGGCATTGTCAATCCCACCTATTTTTTTTTTCCTGCGCCAGGCATAACAAGAAACTATTTTTTTTGGCTTGTTAACTTTTTATGTTGCATCAATATTTTTTAAGTTAAGCAGGGGTACTCAAACCTGAACAAAATATTAGGAAATATGTTTATTCACAATATGAACTCAAATGAAAGTTACAGAAGCTAAGGTGTTTTTTTTAAATGCTAGATTTAGAAACACCCAAATATTTACTCACCTGGCTTTTTTCCTTCTCCAGCATCTACCATTTGCATTTTAATACACCAATTTGAATGATGTGGCATTTGTACAGCAATACAATAACTCATGTTATAGCTGATGTTGTTAATATAATTACAAGTCAATATGCTTTGGCTCAAAACTGTTTAGGGCTGCACGATATGGAACAAATATAACAAATGTAGACTTTATTTACAATTACAATATCATTCATGATATTAGAGGGATTGATCATTTAGCATTATTATTCTCATTATCATTGAAACACATTTAAAATGATCATGTGGATATATTTTTAAGAGGATATGTACCAAACAAAGATATTTTATTAACTCCGTAGAATGCAATGTGTACTCTGGATATACATGCAGCTCCACTATATTTCAATCAACATATTATTTACAAATATTTGGGATTCAAAAATATTGTGCTTTCTGCAATTTCAATATTGCGATTAAATGTAGATTCATGTGCATAACTACTCTCTACTGTATATAAGATATTGTTTATTCTCTTCTAATTTAAAGTATATTGTGTCTAAATACATGTCTCCTGTGCACTGTGCAGACTTCTGCCTGTGACCTCTAGAGGGCAGCAGACGTTTGTAATAAGTTGTGCACAGTGGCAGTGATTTTCAAAGCTACTTTAATACCTTATTTAACAAAGAAAACACCACTGGGTGAGATATTTTCCAACCCTCACTAACAAACCAACAACTCTCCCCAGTGTTGCCAAGGTGACAAACTTTGTGAAACTTTTTTTTTACGAACGCTAACAATGCTGCTCCCTCACTAACCTTTACTCTTGTTTTTCGCTCTGCTCTGTTCTGTTTGTTATTTTCTTTCTGCGCTAACAAAGTTGGTTTCACCAAAGCCGACCTACAAGGTAGAGGGTCAATCTCAGCCTCTCTGAGGCCTGCTCGCCTGAAAGTCTGCTATGTGCAATGCATCGTGGGTGTCACCGTGGCAGTAATGTTCCCTGGGTGCCGCGGAGGAGGTTACCTGCTCTCTGAAAACAGAAAAGTTGACGCTAAGAGAGAAAGAGGAAGACAGACTAATGGAAAAAATACCTGTTATTTGTTCCCCAATGAGGAACATTGTTACGGCGAAGGAAAAACAACGTATTTAGTAACCAGAAGTCACATTTTTTCAAAGTCGGGTAACTGCACTCTGATACTATGGCCCGATTCCAAACCAACCCCTAAGCACTCCCGCTCAAGCTTTGGGACAAACTCCCATCCCTCCGACAGAAACAAAAACTTTCATAAATATTCGTAACGTAATGCTTCCACATCTGCATCTTTCGGACAAAAAGGTATAAAGATAAATTACAATAAAACTCCCAAAAACTGTAAAGGCATTTCTTTTTCTTTTTGTAAGCCGCTTTTTAAAAAAAAATCTGATGTTTATGAGCTGCAGTCCCTGTGAATATATAACATTTTACAATCAAATTAACAATTCTACTCGTTTGACTAGACCCGCATATAATACAAATATAATGTTACCTTCAAGTTAACATCGGTATGACAATATTAAATGTCTTAATTTGCACTTTTTACTGGTAAATGTTTGCGCGGGACTATGTGTTTCTTGAAATACACAAGCACCGTTGCACCTTGTCATCATGCTAGTAGGCCTATAGCATTGCTGCTGTGTTAATGTAGCCATACATATGTTTGTTTACATATGATGCTAGCACTTCTACCCATACTTGTCAACCCTCCCGATTTTCGCGGGAGACTCCCGATTTCATTGTCCTCTCCCGGTTTCCTCCCGGGGTCATATTTCTCCCGCATTTCTCCCGATTTCTGACAAAATCAGATTTACACACGACTGTTTCCACTCGGACTTTAATACAGCGACACCATTGTTTGGTTTCCATGGTAACACGTCTCTTTAGTAGCGCGCGCAACTCAAAGTCTGAGAGGGTGAGGCAGATAGTCACAGAAAACGGAACAAGAATCGACAACTACTCCACCCTCTGCTCACTCCTTTCCTGTAAAATACAGGTCAAAATACGGGTCCAGCCACAATGGTGCTACAGGCCGCAAGGCAGTGCACTTAGAACTACAATAAGCATGTTGATGTTAATCGAACAGCTCCGGCGATCCACTAGCACCCCCCCCCCCCAATTTTGCATTTGAAATGCTCCCGATTTCTGAGGTCTAAAGGTTGGCAAGTATGCTAAATAAGAGTCGGATAAATGTTCTTATAGAATATTGTCCTCCCTGCTAACCTCGAGGCTAAGTGTTTCCATATTTGATAAAGTTGCAAAGAGTACACAGTATATTTAAAGAGAGTACACAGATTAGATAAGTGATGTTCATGCCGTCTACTGCCGTCTGAAAGCACATCTGAAAGCAGTGGCAGGTAATTTGTGGGAGTGCTGTATTCTTCTGTGAAATGCCACATTAGAGGCTGTCACTGCACATCTCAGCACCATCAGACCCCTCTCTCTGTCTCTCTCATGTAATCAAAAAAAAAATCACATTTGGTGCTTTACCCAGCTGAGTGTTTTTGAGTGCGAGTGACCTCCTGCTGAACACTCGGCGAAATCCGCCAATCCCTTTCGCTGACAAACAAGCACAGACGCACGCATACCAACACGAGATTCACAATTATGCGAAAGTGTGGAAGACGCCTGGTTGACTCCCAACGCCGTGCATTGCACAGTAAACGCACCTTCAGCTGGCAAATCCGCTCTGTTCTAATGTCTTCTCTTCACATTGTCTCGCACCAGACAATTGACACTTGCATTCGTCCACCATTTTGATTTATTTTAATTTACTTTGGTTTGTTTACAACGTGGTTATCAGAGGGGGTTTCTGTCCCCCCCCCACCTCACGTGTCCGTCTAGACTCCTACATGGGAATTGTTTATCTTGTTATCTACTGTATGCTTGTCTTTGTCTGCATTCCCTCCCGGTATAAGTATTCAAAGGTACCAAAGAGCTATGTGTGGTGTAGAGGAATAGCAAACACACATCCAAGTTTGACTTTGAATACCCTCCTCTACTCCTTTCTGACTGAAGTGCATACACGGGGATATGCGCTACGTGTCCTCTTTTTTGTTTCTTTTCTGCTCTTCATGAATTCTGTCTGTCTAGTGTTCACCATGTATACTCACAATGAGAACATGTTTGGAAAGATAATTTCTAGGGTTAGGGTTAAAAGCTATTATATTTAAAAGGGGTATAGTTTAATTGAGTTAGTATCCATGAGTTAGGTTTAGGATTAAAAATTATTATATTTAAAGGGGTGTGGTTTAATGTAGTTAGTATCTATGAGTTAGGATTAGGGTTAGGGTTAGAAACTAACATTTTTAAACGAGCTATAGTTTAATTGAGTTAATATCCATGAGTTAGGGTTAGGGTTAAAAGCTATAACTTTTTAAATGGGGTATAGTTGAATTGAGTTTGTATCCATGAGTCATTTGTTTAAAGGTTTTTTGTTCATGTCTCGTCTTGCTTGTCCACAGAGGGAATGCAGCGTGCTAAGTTTTACTCTGATAAAACTTTATAAACTACTTGTTGGAATGATATATATTGCATGCATGTCCACCTGCACACACACTTAAAAAATAAGGAAATGAAGGGATGTTAACAGTGTCATCACATCGGCCCAAATGTGGTACAATTCGCTGTAGCGTGTCTTTAAACGCAGATTAAAACCGAACTAGCATAGCATCCTTTACAGCGGAGCGAATGCCGATGCTCCCGCTGCTTGAGAAGCATGCTGTTGATCCTGTGAAAACCTAGACGCCTCTGTTTCGGCTTGCCACTGCGTTTGATGCTTTACTCAGCATGAAACATGATTCCCTAGACAGTTTTTTTTACATGAGTTGTACTCCAGGTCGGGCTTCCTGTGGTGGCACTGTTTACTCCTTATTGTTTCTTCTAGGCCCACATGCTGTATCTATCTCTCGAGTGCATTTCTTTCTGCATGGGTACTGCATTGTTTAGTCTCAGCAGTAGCTCTTATTGGTTCTTGACTTTGTTCCCTTGTATCTCTCCCGCCTCCATTCCCCCCCCCCCCCCCCCTAGCCTACTACTGCCTTTTTCCAGGCCCCAGTACGACGTGCCAGGAGGACTCGTGCGCCAATATGGGCGTGTGTATCCAGCAGTGGGAGAACTTCACCTGTGACTGCTCCATGACGTCTTACTCAGGGACTCACTGCAATGATCGTGAGTACAATTGAACATTTACCTGTACTTGGCTTGTATGTGCGTTAAAGTCTTATATCTTCTATGTGTCCTGTGGTTCTGAAAGGAGCTGTATAAAGTTTGAGAAAATGACTCAAGCGGCATCTCTTCAGCAATATTGGGTTCAATTTGGGCAAAGAATGGCATACACTTTAAAAACTCAAGCTGCATTTTAGTTGTTAGTAACGGGTCAAATCTTACTTAACCGGTGATGGTTGATATACTCAGATCTTTACTTAAAAGTAAAAGTAGAAAATAAGTAATAACACATACATATTTTTCTTAAGTAAAAGTAAAGTATAAGCATCAGAATATACCTAAAGTAAACGGTACAATATACTTCTGGATAACTAGATATGTCACCCAGGGATCAATACAGTTTGATCCTTACCTTTAGTATTACATAACACAATATTTGCTGACTATATTTGGTATTATTCATCTGAATCTGAATATTCTAAGTAACTCAAGTTATCATATAAATGTAGTAGAAGAAGTATGAAGTGGAAACCCTTAAGTACCTCACCTCACAAACTCAGTTTTTGTCCACCACTGAATACAAACCATATTAAGAAGTAAAAGTCACAACATCTCAGACAAATTGATATCTACAGTAATACTAAAGTGTTGAAGTGGTCCTTTACCATGTCCATTGAGTCATCCCCACCCCC